CCGCACTGCCGATTTTGGATCAAAATTTAGGATTTTTAGTGCGGCTTATGGTCGTGAAAATACGGTAATCAATGAATTAATTAATGTTTATCACAGCCCTTTTCCCAAAACCACACATATCAGTACGTATAGGGTAGCTGTGTTAGTTTCCAATCTAATGTCAAGAATCATTAAACAATAACTTTCAGAATTCCAAGTATTATTTAAATAACCGGAAGAAAAAATCACCTATTAGCAGTTATGTTTTATGAATGGTACATCAAAAATTAAAGATTTAAAAAGATAGTATTAATTAATATTCAAAACAATATAATTTTTTTTAATGACATAAAGTGTGTATGTGAGAGTTGCAACAAAATACATTGTTCTCATGTAGGATATTGATTTAATATTTATTAAAAAAACCAGAAAGTTGTCATAAATCAGAGTTCCTAACACCCAAGCCGCAGACCACTACTAGGATGCAGTTTGTTCAAAACCAGGCTGTGCAAGCAATGGGCAAGTGCATGTGCGAAGCTGCTTTTGTGAGCGCAGCGGGCACTTGTGTGAATGGAGCTTCACATTCGAGCACGAAGGTCCAAAATGGATCAACAACATTAGCAAGTATTATGGGCCCAATTGGCAAAAGAAAACTCAGGACCATAATATTTGGAAACATACGGAAGAGACCTTCATCCTGCAGTGGATAGACAATTGCTAAAATGATGATGATGATGATTCCCCTAATTAACTCATGCATTTTTAGGAGGATAAGGAAAAGACAAAGAGATTAAAAAGAAAATCTTATGCTCTGATAAAACAAGGGCTATGCGTGATACCTTTATATTATACCCTCTAACTTCAAAAATTAAAATATGAGGATTTTTAAATAAAAAATAAAAACTTAAAATATAAGCGAATTATATAAGATGGATTTATATTCTTTCATCAGGTATTATGTGTGTTTTGTTGTTTAAAATTGTATTTTAGCATCCAAAATTGTAAAAGAGCCTGAAAAGGTTCCTGATCTCTAATATAGAACATTGCAGGTAAGTTTGTTATTTTAAAAGGGTATCACTTTTATTAATATAGCTATTTCTTGGATGGAAATAATAACTTATACAAGGACTCCTATTTAGGTTTTTAGTTCTGAAAGGGCTGTTGAGTAAACAAAACGGTACATTACTTTAAATTTCCACCAAGTTCTGTAGTGGCAATTTGAAAGGAAAAGTTGTGTCCCACATATCCATTGTGCCAAGCAAATCATTCTCCCCATTTCTCCTTGTTTAAAAAAGACATTATGGTTGTAGTAGTGATATTCTGTCCATAAATATGACATGAGATGGAGTAAGGTGCAGCTGTACAAAACAGTAAATATTTAGTTCTCTTGCAATGGTTCAAAAATTATGAGATATTGTCTGATGCAGAAGAACTGATCATGTTCTTGCATTAACCCATGTGAAATCAATCAAATTTAAAAGTATTCTTGCAGGAATGATGAAATGTTTAAAAGTGATATAAAAATCTGTCAGAATTGCAACAATGAATCCATTTTTTATTTTAGAAAAATCCAAAATAAAAAATCAAAGGTGGTAAATGAGTTAGGAACAGAATTTTAACTCATTCTATTAAATCAATAGATGAATATAACAAGCTTTTGTCTGGCACTATATATCACTCTTCTGTCTTCAAAATACTTTTGCTTAGCAATAGCAGCATTGCCTCCCAGTGTTTTCTGAATCACAGAAGCTTTAAAAATAATTCATAAACTTCACTTACCTTCACATTTGGTTCTGTGTGGCAAAATATTGTTGGTACAGCATTGTCCTTTAATAGTTTGTTGTTACATTCTCTTTTGAAGCAATCTGGAGTAAAGTGTTCAGAACAAATGCTGCTATATTTTGTTGGCTTGAAATTTTTTCTTCTAACAGCCGCTTCCCATTTCTTGCAGAGATCAGGTCTTGTGAGAGGAAACCTACAAATAAAATGTACATCAAACATTTTTATTATTTTTACTACCAAACTGGAAGTGGGAGGGAGAGTAAGAGGAAGCACTCACATTTTCACTTAGCTGTAGTCTTAATATGCTTTTAAGAAATTGCCTAAAACATGGTAGGAATCAAGCTTTTGGATTTAATGAAAGGTCTCTATTTTTTTTTTGTTCTCCCAGTAACAGGAGAGATTCTAATGGAAACCAAAAACAGTAAAATCAGTTTGTGCAAGATGACAGTACAGACGTCTAACGTTCAATTTCTAGTGAACAAATTACAGATTCTTCTCTACTCATGGTCTGTGGAAGAACTTTGAAATACTCCATTTCTATAACTTTAATCCATGTTTGTAGAAATTTTTAAGGAGTATACAAAACTCACAAAGGCTCAAGATTTATTACTGTTTAAGAAAAAGAAAACATTTACATTAAATATAAGCTCAAATCAGTATTAAAATTTATTTATAATTTTATTAACCCCACTATAGATTTACAGATACTTTCAAGTTCTCAAAAGCACCCAGACGTGCATGTTTTATTTGTAAACTTCCAGTTACACTTTTAACCTCTTCTTTGGTGCCGGTCAACTCAGCTGTTCTTAAATTTTTATGAGAATAATCCTGAATACTGGAATACACTTAACTTTGCGTTACTAAGTTAACAATTGCACAGATTCACTTAGCAACCATGACAAGAAAGGTCCTAAAATAGGGCAAAATTTACTTAACAACTCAACTGTCTTGTTTAGTAACGTAAATTTTAGGCACAATTATAGTCTGAGGTCAAGAACTACTTGTACAGGTAGTCCTCAACGTATGATAATTTGAGGCCAAAATTTATGTTGCTAAGTAAGAAATTTGTTAAGTGAGTTTCACCCCATTTTACGACTTCTCTCATCACATTTGTTAAGTGAACCGCTGCAGTTGTTAGATTAGTAATACGGTTGTTAAGTGAATCTGGTTTCCTCATCGACTTTATTTGTCAGAAGATTGCAAAAAGATGGTCACATGACTCCAATACACTGCAACCGTCATAAATGTGAGTCAAGCATCCAAATGTAAAACACATGACCATGGGGATACTGCCATGGTCATAAGTGTGAAAAATGATCATGTCTCTTTTTTCAATGCCGGTGTAACTTGGAAGTTACTAAGCGAGCTGTTGGGAGTTGAGGACTACCTGTACACCTAAAGCCCAAAAGCAATCCTAGATCTACTTGCTTTCAACAAAACCTGAACTTTATTTGCTTTATTTGAGGGGGGGGGGCACTTTATTAAACCAGCCAGCATTCGGGTGTAATACCAGAGTTAAAAGGAGGGGAGGCTAATCCCTATCGATCCTGCTTTTGCCGATTCTTAATCATGATTATTTTAAACAGTCATTGATAACCACTCCCTCTCAGCCTGTCAGAAAGGTGGAAGCGCCGCTTTGCTGTTATTGACGGTTGAACAAGCGCGCGCTTGCGCGTGTTCGATTCCATCAGTCAGGCACATCTCGAGCCTTACTTTTTAAAGGGAAAAAAAATCCACCAAAGGACCCAGTAAGTACACTTAGCCCCGCCTTCTCGCCGACCTCAAGAGTGGCCGCGCACGATTTAAAGTCCCTCCCCCTTTGGGCCGCGCAGGCGCTCTGGCTCCGCCTTCCTGTTCGCGAAGCGAATGCTAGCTTTTCTCTCGCCTGGTCAAGAGAGTCGCTTTTTTTTCCTCTCCCCTCCTCCTCCGCTCTCGTTTTCCTACCCCCGCCCCTACTCACTTGTGGAAAGAGATGGGCTTCTCTTTGTCGTATCGATTCCGGCAACGGTAGGCAGAGCAGGACTGCACCATCCTCTTGTTGCCGTCCCCTCCGCCTGCCTCTTTACCACCACCGGGATTTCTGGGAGGGAGCAAATCAAGTTAAGACACGCGTCGATCCAAAGGCTTCCTTGAGGTCTTCGCGTTCCTTTTCAAAAACAAAAAAAATCCGAAGAACGACATAAACTGGCTGTGGCCTCTCCCTATTTCAACATGGCGGTGCCAGCTTCAGACCAACTCTCTCGAGATCTTAGCATCGGGCTTGGCTATTGGTCACGCCCCGCAATGTTTGGGGTGCGACGCGTCTCCGTCGGAACAGCCAATGAGAGGAGTGACTCATCTTTTGACGCACGGACTCCGGCTTTCTGAGCTCGGAAATAGCACGAGCGCGCGACGGGAGTCGTTGAACGGCGCGTTGTTTTAGATCGACCCTAACGTTGATGCGCGCCTCGTCAAAGAAGGCATTGGCGCGCTTCTATAAATTGTGTCCTTAGTCCTGCAGTTTAGCCTTGTTGGGAAGGATGTTTATTCCTAAAATAATTAAGTTGAAGGATGTTATCATCTGACATAATAAATACGGATGACCATTAAATAATAGCAAGAAATTGCATATCTTGTATATTTGACAGATCTTTCTTTCTTTTTCTCCCTTCCTCCCTCCATCTCTCTTCTCTCCCTGCCTCTTTCTCTTGCTCTCTTTTTGTCCCTCCCTTTCTCTTTCCCTCCCTCCCTGCCTGCACTTACTTTCTTTCCCTCCCTCCCTCTCTCTTCCCTCCCTGCCTCTTTGTCTGTCTCTTTGTCCCTCCCTTTCTCTTTCCCTCCCTGCCTGCATCTTTTTTCTCTCCCTCCCTCTCCATCTCTTCCCTGCCTCTTTCTCTCTCTTGCTGTCTTTTTGTCCCTCCCTCTTTATCTTTTCCTCTCTGCCTGCCTGCCTTTCTTTCTCTCCCTTGCTCCCTCTCTCTATCTCTCTTCCCTTCCTGCCTCTTTCTGTCTCTCTCACTGTCTTTTCTTTTTGTCCCCCTTTCTCTTTCTTTCCCTCCCTGCCTCTCTCTCTCTCCATCTCTTCCCTCCCTGCCTTTCTTGCTCTCTTGCAGTCTCTTTCTTTTTGTCCCTTTCTCTTTCCCTCCCTCCTTCCCTCGCTCTCTTTCTCCCCCTCCCCCCCCCGCTCTTAACAGGGGTCCCCAGTTGGTGGATTGGCACCAGTCCGCAGCATGGTAGAAACTGGGCTGCACAAACAAGTGAAGCTCAATCCGAGGGATGCAGGCAGCACGTGAAACACACCCCCTCTGGTCTGTGGAAAAACCTGTCTCCACGGAACTGGTCCCTGGTGCCAAAGATTGGGGGGGCATTGGTTTAAAATAGTGTTGAGATGTAAAAAGCCTCTTGCAGTTTAGAGCTATCATGATTACTCTTCTCGCTATCGGGGGATGCTTAATAAGGCTTTGGGTTTAGGACAGTTTCCAGATTCTTGGCCTTTGTTGTTACAATAGGGGTGTAGTCCTACCATAGTTAGGAGTTGGACACGTGTCTTCCAAATAACATGAATGCATTATATTCTTTACTTATACCTTTGCCTTTTTCAACAAGTGATGTAGTAAAAATAAGAATGACAGGATAAGACCCAGTTGCAAAAGTGGCAATTTGGTTAAATGCATTTCAAAATATACAGTCCAGTGGTTCACAGGAGTCCTTCATTCTTTACACAGAAAATGAAAAAAATATGTACTTGCATAAAATGTTTTGTCCTCGTTACCAGTCCATTTCACTTTTGTGGCACCTGTCCCAAATCACTGGAGTAATCAAATCAAATATTTTATTACTGTCTTTGACATAAGCCATAAGGAGTGTACAATCAGATAAAATTCACAAGAGTAACATTGCCCTACTTTGTGAGTGGTGCCTCTTATGGACAGGTTGATTGGTTTTCTGGCATTTCCTTCAGTGCTGTGAGGACTGGGTGAATTAGCAATGAAAGGTTGACAAGGCATAGCAAGGTATATTCAGGCAGGAAGAAGGAAATTGGAAGAGAGGTGTTGGAGGCATAGTCTGAAGGAGGCTCAGGATCTTAATCAGAGAATATCTTCTTTCAGGGAGAAAGGATTAAGAATATGTTTAATGCTAGGATATATTAATATAGGTTGTCCTTGACTTACAGCCATTCATTTAGTGACCTTCAAAATTACTATTACTGAAAAAAGTCACCTATGACAAGTTTTCATACTTACAGCATCCCCACACTCAAGTGATCAGAATTCAGGTGGTTGGCAGTTGGCTTGTATTTGTGATTGGCACCGTCCTGGGGTCATTGATCACCATTTGTAACCTCCCCAGGAATTGCAATAATTCGCTTAATTGTGGCAAAAAACAAATCATCAAATGAGGAGCAGCTTACTTAACAACTGCCTTACTTAGAAACAGAAATGTTGGACTCTATTGTGGTCATACATTGAGGACTACCCATATTGATAGGATATGTTACTTTATCAAAGTAAATAAATCTGTTCAAAGGCATATTTTAAAATTAATAAAAGCAAATTGTTTTTATGCCAATCAGTTCTCTTAAATATTTTCCTGACATTCCATCCAGTTACACTTTAAATTTCTAAACCAGAAAAAGGGCTTAGTTGTGACAGCAACACAAAAAGTTAATAATGGATAAGACAACACCACCACCCCAGAATAAGGAGAATGTGCACGAAATAATATAAAGAAGCATCTGGGAAGAGAACAAGGCAGAAATAGCCCCAGGGAGGAGAGACTCAGATTCTGCCATAACTGTACAACCAACTAGATCCTGTAGGGTGGAAATTCAAAATGATTAGATGTTGAGCAAATTACATCTTGTACTACAGAGAAGGCAGGGGAAGAGTAATTGAAATAAACCAATGCCCACTTTAATATCCCTATTTTTTGACACTGCAATCAAGAAAAGTGGAGCTGTTATATCTAAAGGTACGTGCCATTTCAAAATATTTTAGTACCAGCATTAATACACCTTATCTTACCTAGAAAAAATAATATCTGATTTCTTCTATACTGAAAGGCTGAAGTCTAACTGTTTGCAAAATGGGTAGGAGAGACTGCCAGGTATGAAATTGAACTCAGGAAGCAAAGGCAGGGAAAGAAACAGCTATGGGGGAATGCATATGCCCCCCCCCCAACAATCTCAGATACATCTTTCTGCAGTTATCATCTGTCCTTGCCTCCAGATTAAGTGACAAACGTTTTACACAGCATGAAGCTATAATGACTTTGTTAGCCAAAGAGGAAACAAAATTACTTTTATTCAGGCGCAGTAAAAATTACGTCAAGTAATTTTTGCTTTTGGGTTGGCTATAAGATGATACTACAGTCATGTGATCAAGGGTGAAGACTGGGACTGTTAAAGCATAAGAGTGCAATGATATAAATAGAAAGAAAGTTACAGATTGAAACTAGATTTAGGATGTCCCTGTGAAATCAGAAAGAAAAAAAAGATGCTTTACCTTCTTGTCTTAAGAACGTATTTGAACAATGCTATCAGATATATGGTATATACAATAAAACAACAGTTGCTAGTAGTATAATTTCACATAGCAGATGTAGCTTTGCATGGACATCTTCAGGGCATAGCAAGATAAAATGCAGCTTACATATAAAGAATTTTAGTGCCAATTTTCATTCTCCACCTGAAGCCGTACAACTACCATTTCCATTCAGTGACCATGCTGAAATGAGACTAAGGGTTCTGACATGGAACTAGGATTTTCCGCCTTATGTCAGCAAAAGACATCCCATGTAGACATTCTAGTAAATATGGAAGAGCTTTATGAGATCAGCAATTTGCAGGAATCCAACTGGTCCACAGCAGGATCCTTTTTTTCCCCAACTAGTCCAGGGATGTCAAATTCAATTTCATTAAGGGCCACATCAGGACTGTGGTTGACCATTGGGGGGGCATGCATGGCTGACTGGGTGGGCGTGGCCAGCTTGATACTACTCCCCAAATTGCAGTAATGCTGGCATGTTTCCTGTTTGCATTGGGTAGACCAGGGCGAAGCGACGTTTTCCAGGTCAGCCCCACGGGCCAGATCTGGCCTGCGGGCCTTGAGTTTGACACTCCTGCACTAGACAGTGCTGCACCTCTACAACTATTTTCTGTAGAGGAATTGGTCACTTCACTGGAATGGACTGTTTCTTCTAATGAGAATATTGACTTCATGTAAATTTGGCCACTGGTCTATCATGAAGTTAATATTCTGATTAGTAAGCAATAATAAAGAAGGCAAAATTTTATCCGAAACATTTCTTCATTAGGTAGCTGAGTTAAAGGAGCAGTGGAGAATAGTGGTTGCACAGTGTGATTGCAAAACAGTTCTTTTTGTGTGTGAGCATGCATATACTGTGTGCATGCATTTGTGCAGATGGAATGGAATCGGCAATGGAAAGGATCATTCTATAAAATAAACATACAGATGATTATTCCCATTTCCTGAATTTTTAAAGATTTGACTTCCGCATCAATTTTGAAGAAGTGTGAATCTGAGTATATTTAGTAGAGGAACTTCCTAAAATGTGTTCATAGGAGCAGCTACTTAAAAGGGGGCTGGAATGAATGAACTCATGCCAGATTGAAACAAGATTGCAGTTTTGCAAGCAAGAAAACTTGTTTCAATTTTGTTTTAGTTGGAGGAAGGGTTCATGATGTAGTAAGGTGGGGAGAGAGGAGTATTCTATGTTCCTATTCAAAAAAAAGAGAGAGAACAGAACAAGTCTTATCCTTGGATAATGGAAGAACATGGGGAATCACACCTAGAAAACCTCAATTCTTTCAGGGTAGATAACACTTGGAAAACCTTATTCACTTCTACTATTCATAGGAGAAAAAACTATGGCTATTTAGATCTCATCTTCTGGCCAAGACACTGCCAGTAAGAAGAACTTCATTCCTGACAGCCTGGAGAAATTTTCAGAAATTCGGACAAGAGTGCCTATCACTTCTATTGCAAGTTTTCTTTTCTGGGGGTTGGATATCAGGATGTTATTGTTGTTTTTAGTTCTCTCACTAATGCTTAGCAATAAAAGTCTAACAAAGTAGGAAAAAATTAAGTGAGCAATAAAAATGAATATAGAAACCTGCCTCACCAGCCATTCACAGGAGCAATTACGATAGTAGTTTTATTGCTCGTGAAACACACTAGGTGGGACAGTCTACTTCATTTGAAAAAAAGTGTGGACTGCAACAGTGAGAGAGACTTGTCAATGCATAGCAAAGCCAAAATATGGAGCACAGTTCTCTAAACTGGCATTTTTTCCTCTTAACTCGAAGATGGGAAGAAAGCAGATTGGTGAAGGTTTACCTTTTTTTAGTAAACATTCTATCTGACTGGCCATCTCTCTAAAGATAGCCATATGATCAGGAGTGTCTTTGTTCAAGCTTATTGTTACAAAAATAATATCACAATTGTTTTAAATTCATCTAAGCAGTTTTATTAATTGACATGTTTCAAAACTTTCTTTCGCTAATGAAGTGCACAACAGTCTGTGGAATAAATCATTCAGAGTGTACTCAGGGGAAATGTTGATTAAATCTATTATGTTGCACGTTAGACTTTACTCTCCTTGTAAAATTAACACGGGATTCTCCTTCATTTGGGGGGGACAAGTTTTGAGGACATGAAATACCATATTCAATTGATTGAAGCAACTATTTCGGCTGAAGAGATGAATTGAATAAGGTGAAGGTAAAGGTTACCCTCGCACATATGTGCTAATTGTTCCCAACTTTACAGTACACCGGTGCTCATCTCCATTTCAAAGCCAAAGAGCCACTGCTGTCCAAAGATGTCCCCTTGGTTATGTGGCTGGCATGATTAAATGCCAAAGGCACATGGAACGCTGTTACCTTCCCACCAAAGGTGGTCCCTATTTTTCTACTTGCATTTTTTACGTGCTTCTGAAGTGTTAGGTTGGAAGAAGCTGGGACAAGTAATGGGAGCTCGCTCTGTTACGCGGTGCTAGGGATTTGAACCGCTGAACTGCCAATCTTCTGATCAATAAACTCAGCATCTTAGCCACTGAGTAACCGTGTCCCTTATGAATTGAATATCTTTTTGTCTTTGAGTTCTAATTTCATGAATGATAGCAAGTCAGAAACTTGTCATGCTTGATTCATATTTGAGAGATGGATGAATTGAATACCATCTCTCAAATTTGAATGAAGCATGACAAATTTCTGATTTGCTGTCATTCATGAAATTAGAATTCAAAGGCAAAAAGAGAGATCTCCCTATAAATTACAATACAGACTTTATTATACCTATTCTAATAAAATTGCCTGAGAAAGCTTCGATAACAAACCTTAATGCATAGGATGTGATGCCATTCGTTTAAGACAGTAACCAAAAAGAAATGTTTTGCACATGAACTCCACTTTTTATTTTAGGAACTAATCAGAGCAGGTGGCCAGTGTTGCAGCAATATAAGTGGAATGGGACCACAAAGTTTGGGTTAGCTTGGGACACTCAAATGGGAAATTGTCCTCTCCCAAATCAACATGTTTACTGCTGAATTTTGTCAGTGTGATCTGGATGTTCTGACATGGACATAAAACAAAATATCTGTAGTCCTCAACTTTTGACAACTGAGCCCAAAATTTCTGTTGCAACGTAAGACAGTTGCTAATTGAGTTTTGCCCTATTTTATTATCTTTCTTGCCACAGTTGTTAAGCTGTTGCGGTCCTCCATTGATTTTGCTTGTCAGAGGGTTGCAAAAGATGATCTTACAACCCCGGGACACTGCAACTGTCACACATACATGCTATTTGCCAAGCATCTGAATTTGAATTGAATGGCATTGATTTACAGTAAGTAGTTCTCCTTCCTCCAAGACTGGTTACAATTGGCATTGCTGGGGAAGAAGGTTCCACATCTAGAAATCTGCATTGCAGGGTGGGTTTCACTCTCTCTCCCCTCACTCTTATTCAACATTGATGTGAAGGTGCTGAGTGAAATCATCAGGCTTCAGGCTTAATATCAGTATGCTGGTTTTCAGTTGTGGCTTTGCAGCAGCCTGCCCAAAAGTGATGCTCTCATGGTTATTTCAAATGTCTGGAAGCCGTGGAGATCTGGATGGAGAAGAAAGGGCTTAACACTGGCAAGACTGAATGGCCTTTTTTTTTGTCTATCTTAAAAATCTTGTGGGATGTTTTTGGTTTAAGAGCAGAAATGCCTCTTTATCAACAGGTAAAGATAATTTACGGCTGCCTCAGGCATGGTTTGTGATTAAGATAAAAGCTACAATGTGCAGGACAAAAAGCAGAGTTGCCAGATGTTTGCCTAGTGTTTATATGCACCTTGGCAAAAGCTCATTGGCAACACCTCCTTGTTGAACACAGGTAATCCTTGATTTACAACAGTTCATTTAATGACCATTCAAAATTGCAATTTTTCACATTTATGACCATTGCAGCATCCTCATGGTCACATGGTCAAAATTCAGGCGCTTGGCCACTGGGTTCATATATATGACTGTTGCAGTGTCCCTTTTTGCGACCTCCTGACAAGCAAAGGCAATGGGGAAGCCAGATTTACTTAACAACCATGTCAATAACTTTAACAGCCGCAGTGATTCACTTAACAACTGTGGCAAGAAGGGTCGTAAAATGAGGCAAAAATCATTTAACAAATGTCTTGCTTAGTAACAGAAATCTTGGGCTCGATTGTGGTCTTATGTCAAGGATTACCTGTATAAGTAGCCTAGTTCCTATTTCCCCCACTGCATTTCCTTTCTAGTGGCTCTGTATTTGTAACAGAAAGGGATTTTTTTCCAAAGCAGAAAAAGCATTTTCTCAAAATGAGGATGAAAGCAGGAAGGCCGTTAAGACGAAGAAACTACAAGATTAGGGTCACTCTGTTCTTTTTTTCCTGCTAAACAAAACCATAGCTGCTTGGTCCTCACAACCTACTACAAGTAGTCCTTGACTTATGACCACGATTTAGCCCAAAATTTCTGTTGAGAAGTGTGTTTTGCCCCATTTTATGATCTTTTTTGCCACAGTTGTGAAATGAATCTGGGTTCCCCATTGATTTTGCTTGTCAGAGCGCAAAAGATGATCCCATAACCTTGGGACACTGCAACCGTCATAAATGCGAATCAGTTGTCTATCCTCTGAATTTTGATCCCATGATTAAAGGGATGCTACAATGAATGGTCATAACTGTGAAAAAGTCACATTTTTCAGTTCCCTTTGAACGATCACTAAAAAAAGTTGCAAGTCGAGGATTACCTGTAGTTGCGCGCACTTTTACTTCACCGGTTTATCAGGTCGTCCATCGGACTGCCGCTGTGTAAGAAAGTTGGGAGGGGGGAGAGGCACCTTTCAGCCCCTGGTTTTCAGGTGAATCTGGTAGCCTGCGCGAATTAGCCGCAGTGCAACGTCGGGGAGCAATAAAAGTTTCGCAGCGAGATTTCGCTTCGGTTTCTCTTATCGGCTTTCCTTCGGGCTGATCTCAACGCGAAGCCCCGTTTTATTCGGGGGAGAAGGGAGAGAGGCGAGTAAAGGAGGAAGACGGAACCAGGCGACGCGGCTCCGTCGCTCCGCCCTCCGCTGCTGAGCCGAGAGGGCCGCGTGTGGCCGCCGCAGCCACAGCCAAGAAAGGCGGAGTAGCGGGAGCTGCTACTAGGGCGAGGCATTTTGACATCAGTTCCTCTGGCTGCAAGGAGCGAAAAAAAAAGAGTTTTCTCTCCCTTTAAAAGCCGCAAGTCGAAAGCGCCGAGCCCCGGGCAAGGGTTGCCTCAGGGGCGGAAGATGGAGAGCTGGAGCCGGGCGTGAAAAACTCGCTTGCAGCCTTCGCCGCGCTGGGAAGCGGGAGCTGGCGGCCGGGACCGCATCGTTTCCTCTCTCTGGAAGCCAGACAGAGCTGGGGACTGGCGGTGGCGGCCGCCGTAGCGGCCCCGGCCCCTCCAAACCCGCCGCCGTCCCGCCCAGCATGAGCGGCGGCGGCGGCGGGCGCACTGGCGCCCGCGTGGCTGTGAAGATGGAAATAGCACCTTACTACAGCGAAGAAGGCTTGGAGCTGCTCCCGGACTTCGTGCAGCTGCCGGGTTTCGGTGGCGGGCCCGGACCCGGAGGAGCGACGGGACTTGAACCGCCTGAGGAAAGCGGGGCGGTTCAACAGCGCAAGTTGCTCCTTGTCGGGAAGCCACCGCCGCCTCCGCCTCCTCCTCCTCCTCGGGATTTGGGGGCGGCCTCCCCGGGTAATGCCACCTTGCCCCCGGCCGGGCCGTTCTTGCGTCCCCGCGGCATCCCCAGCAGCGCCGTGCACCGCCTCATTCAGGAGACCACCGTCGGCGCCGGCCCTGAGGTGGGCCCAGCCGTTTTACAGCCTTTGCTGAAGCTGCCTGCGGCCGCCGACTTGGAACAATTGCTGATCCAAGCGGGGAGCCCGGGCCTCGCCGGCCCATCCAGCCCCACTGGCGGAGGGCCCTCGGTGGCGACGACCGGCGGAGCGCCCTTCTTGTACCGGTCTCCGCAACCCTCGGTTCCGCCGCAGGCGGTGACGCAGGAGCAGGAGGGCTTCGCCGACGGCTTCGTGAAAGCTCTGGCCGACTTGCACAAACAGAACCAGCTGCTCGGGGTGTCCCCGGCGCCTCTCTCGCCTACCCAGCACCCGGGAGGCCCCTGCTGCCCGACCAACAGGCAGGATCCCCCCGCCGTCTACACCACCTTAGGCAACTTCAACCCGGCCAGCCCATCGGCCGGCGGCGCTTTTTTCACTTCCCAGGCTGTGGCTCGTTTGCCGGTGCCAGGCTCGACTGGCAGGGCTTTGGAAGAGCCGCAGACTGTGCCGGAAGCGCCTGTAATAGTGTCAGCTCCGCCGCCGCCCCCTTCGGGTCTTTCGTCCGGGGACTCCCCTCCGCCGCCTTCCTCCTTGTCCCCTCTGGACGCAGAGAGCCAAGAGCGCCTGAAAGCCGAGCGCAAAAGGCTGCGTAACCGTATCGCGGCTTCCAAGTGCCGCCGGCGCAAGCTGGAGCGCATCGCCCGCTTGGAGGAGAAAGTCAAAGCGCTCAAAGGCCAAAACGCCGAGTTGGCCGCCACCGCCAGCCTCCTCCGCGCCCAGGTCACCCAGTTGCAAGGTCGGGTCCGGAGCCACCTCTCCAGTGGCTGTCACATCAACGCCGCTGCCCCCGCCCCCGCGCAGACCTTGGCAGTTGGGGGTCAACCCCCCGGCAGGGAGGCACCCACAGAGCCGGAGACCGGTGCTTGCTGAAAGCGTGTGACTCCCGGAAGAAGGAGAGACTCACCAGTGCGCCCAACTTTGCCATGCATGCACGGCAGAAAGTTGATTAGACCTTGATCATGGTCTTGGGAAGGGCCATGGAAGCCCTGCCTTCGGTTTCACATCCTTTGGCTTCTGCAGAGTAGTCTTCATTCATCTGAAGTAGGCAGGGAAAGGTTCGGCTTCTGGGAGACCATGCAGGTATCTTAAACCAGTTTCTGATAGAAGTCGGAAGAGCCAGAGAAGAACTTGGTATAATGGCAGAGAGAGAAATATGCCAGAAAGAATATCCCATGGAACAGAGTAGGACTTGACAGTGTTAGTCTTTCTAGAAACAACTTCTTAAAAATAACAACTGTCATTCTTAACTAAAGGTTGGCAGCTTCAAGCATCTCCAACAACTAGCAGGTTTCCTGCCAACCACCTAAGTAATGAAAGTATTACTGAAATTGGTAATAAGCAGCTGGAAGTAATGCTCTTGGGTTCTTTTCAAGAGCACAAAAAATGCAAAACCTTCAGAGGGAAAGAGGAAAGTGTCAAGCTTCTCCAGTTGAAACCCCTCTGACTACCTTCAGCCTGTGAAGAAGTCTGGGGCTGGGTTGTTCCTTGGTTTTCTGGAAGCTACAGCTTATTTTTCTAGCTTTCTTGTCCTGCTTAAAACGAAGAACCAGAGCTTTGCTGACTAAATGTAAAAATATGTCTTGTTGCTGGAAATCCAAAGGTCTCTTCAAAGATCATACTTGTGGACAAAGGTTATCTTTGTGGAAGACTTTTATATGTTCTAAAGATTCTTAAATTTTATTTTTATTCTGTGGTTGAAGGTAACTGAGTGCAACATGTATTAGCATTTCTGCAAAAAGGAAAAAAAAGTTACCAAGGATGGTTAAAGACACTCTAATGTGTTTTGCTGAAGGTGTATTTACAGCTTTCTAATGAACAGTGTGGATTTTCTAAGATGGGATAGTAAGGGAATAGTAAATATGTTTGTATATCATGCATATTGCTAGTTATTTCAGTAGATAAAACATATTTTTAAGAGAGAGCAGCTCTAGAATTTGCCAGTAGATAGATTTGTGAAATGTTTTTCAACATTTAGAAGACTTGTGCAAAGTTAAGTGAATTTTGTGTACAGATTATTTGTTATTTTCTTCCTGTAGAGGTTCTCTAGATTTGCTAAACGCTTGAGAGACACTACATTTATATGTTTAGGAAGTACTACGGAGTATGTGGCTGAGCAAATTTTTCTTGATGAACAAAAGAAAACAGTCACAAACCGTAATTTGTCGCTATGAAAATGTTGCCATTGAAGCTAATTTCACATTTCTGATGCTGGAGATTTAGCCTACTATGCCACATAAAATATTTATTTAAAAAGCAGATTTTAAGAAAATGCTTTTCACCCCTAGATCTATGAGCTCTATATTATTTCTTGTGCCAGCACAAAGTAGGGGTATGGGTGCATTTATTTATTAAAACTATAGGATATCTGTTTATTTTTATAACATGCAAGAGGATAAAAGAAATCTTTTTGAAGAAAAATATCAAATGTTTTATCTTTTACAGTATACATTCCAGCTGTAATTGTTCTCGGTATGATCACAACTATAGTGCTATACAGAGAAAAAAATTGGATTAAAAAAAGATAAATTAGTTAATTCAACTATGTTTTGAATAATTCATGAAAAAATTAATAGAAATGTAGATAGCCATATATTTTTAGAAGAACTATGTGTAAGCTATTTTATTCTCAGGATGGAAGGTGGCAAGTAAATTTATAAGCTGAGTTTGAAAGGTTTATTGAGTTTTATTTTAAAATGGGATCAGAAATAAACATTGTTTTTTTGCTTCTTTTTTAAGGGTTTTGATGGTTTTATTGGTATTTTGTGAGTTTTATTAGTAACTCCACCAAACTGTTTATCATGGATGACAGCCCTACCTACCAACATATTTCATTGTATAAGTTTTACCCTTCTCCAAATGCAGTTTTCTTACGTCCTGTGATTTTATTTTCTGATTCAGCTACAACTTTCCATGCAGTAAAAACCCTTGCCTGGATATTTGCCAGGAAAGTATTGTGTCAAAAACATACTAGGGCACAGTTGATTTTTCTTTCATGCAGTAGTATTGACATAACCTGCTTGACTGATAGGTTGATGTTTATCCTAGACTTAGATGGATACCTATGAAGGAGTCAGATTTTCAGAAAAAATGGCAATTAAGAGCTTTTGATTTGGAATCCTATCACTGCAATCTTGGCATTTTAGGAGTAGAGGGAGAACTGGTGAAGGAAACTTACATTAATTTGATTAAACCATCTTGCACTGATTGACAAAGATACTTTCATAATATATTCTTTATCTTTTCCCTGTATGCGATTATTTTTTTCTTGTTTGGAATGCACATCTATACTAGTATTTTCAGTCAACATTAGTATGAATAATTTTCTTTCCAATTTTGTTAACAGTTAAAAATCAGATATTTTCAAATGTTCTCTAGACGATGTAATACTGAAATAGGAGAATTTCTCAGGTAAGTTCTGTACTGGAATATTGTGTTTTGGAAATGGAGCTTAGAGAAATCATTATTCCTACTTCAAAAACAGCATCCTATTTCTTAATTTTTTCAAAAAAAGACACATCATAACTGGTGCCTTCCCTTGGCACGCAGATCATTCATTATCTTGTTAATGCTGTATGTATGTTGTAACAGTTTTTGCCAAAAACATGACGTGCTTGAAATATTTGCAGTATTCTAAATTGTTTGCCTTTTTCTAGCCTATTTGGCAAATATTGCCAATGTATGCAGTTTTTGAAGCTTTTTTCCGTGATAATTTCTCTGAATACCATGTATTTTGGACACAATTTCCGGATATTTTTAATATTGTATTTTTTTCCATGTACTAACCAATCTGCCAGTGTCTTTGAAATCCTGTTTACATGCTGCATCATTTGTTGGTTGACTATCCATTATTGCTGATGACCTGGGAACATACTTATTCCCAAGGGAAGAAATTTCATCCTTATGCAAATTTCACCCTTACTTTTTTCTCATCTGTTCTGATTACTGTGGGGGTTGCTGTTGTTGTTTTGCATGTGCCTCTAAACTACTCTTAGAGATCTATTAGATTTGTTTTTATACACTTTGTCTCTTGCACTTTAAGTAATTTTAAAAACAACCCACTCCCCCAAATTCTAGACTAAATGGTACTCACCTGTCTTAAGGTGAATTAGGCAAATAACCCATTCTAATATTGTTGATGGTTCAGATGATGTCCATTGACCTAAAATCAAGAGATAAAATCTTGTTACAAGAAAAAAAGATGTCTTTGCAGGATTTGAGAACTTATCGTTGAGTTTTAACGAGAAGAGTTGTTTGGCAGCTGGTTTTCTTGTGCACTTCTCCAGTTCATGTGAATACTCAGGTGATTGTATGGCTCAAAAGGCTGACTAATTTTGTTGCTAACTTGGTGAGTAGTGATGTATCACGACTCTTTTCCAATGGTTCTTTTTTAACTTACCAATGGAATCACTTTTTGTTCTATTTGGAATGCTTGTCATTGATAGAAATGTACATTCAGGTGTGGACTTACTCTGAAAACACCATTCGTTATTATAGGTTTTGTAGGGATTGATGTAAAACCCTGCATGTTTTCACAGCAGGATTTTTATTCATTCTAAGAAAATCGTTGTTGGCTTTATGAGAACTCGACTGTTAGCCTGAAAATTTCGATTCAATGTTTTTTTTCCCCATTAGAAATGTTAGTGGGCCATTGGCTTTAATTATGATAGTGTATTTTTTTCCTGGAAGTTGTAGAACACTTATTAGTATTAAATGTACTAGGATTAAAAGACATTAGAGCAAGTGTCAAGCAAATTCATATATGTTTAAACCCCATGATTTTAGTCAGAGTATCTTTTTAAATTTTACGTGGAAATCACTGCAATATAAAAGTGCTTAAATTTTGCTGGAGCACTGCTTAGCTTTTTATATTGCTGCCAGAAAGCATTTTAATAATATGTATCTGGAACAGAAGGATGTAAAAATCAAACATAGGCCCTAGTGCATATTACTGTAATTTCTTGCTTTCTGTTGCAAAGCTGAATCTGTTTAAGTATGACAATATTTCTATTACTCAATGAACTTCAAAGTGATTTTTGCTGTGTTAATTGTTGTCAGTATTTCCCCACTGTGGAGCAGTTGTATTGTAAATAAACACCTGTTCCTTTAATCAGAGGTATTTAACTTGATAACTAGGTATAATTTTGCAGTCAGACATTCAGATGCAATCATATAATTTTTGTCTTTCGCAGTTTAAGCATATTGTTTTTTTTAATAATATAACTTTAGGTTTAAGACTTTCTATACATGATCAGTTCTAAAAATACTTATTTAGCAATTGCGTGGAGAGCAAAATTAGTTTTGTAGATTTGAAAGATTTGGGGCAAGGGAAGTTTATATAATAGCAACGTGTCTTATGTATGATGTTTCAGGCAATTTGTTCAGATAAGCTTGGGTTATATTTTCCTTTTTGAAAGCAATGCTCAAGTTGTCTAAGAATCTGCTAAGTGGGGTGTGAGTAATCCCTCTTAGATAAGGTGTAGTTTTAACCTTTTGTGTAGTTTGAAACATAAACTGGAAATTTGACATGATAGATGAAAAATGTCTGTTATATTAGATAATGCAATTATTATATAGATAATATTGAAAATGTCTCCATCAGGAGTATGTCTACTGAGATTGAGTTGTAGAAATTTGTAGTACACTCGTAGCCTTTTTTTATTGATGCTAACTCAGTATGGCTTCCAGAGTATGGCTTCATCAGAGTTCCTGATGAAGTTTTAATAGTGAATTCCTGAATTATATCATGATAACTATACTACTTTGAAACAAATCATAGCTAATGGTTTAAAATAAAATGCAGATATACCTATGTTTCTCTAAGAAAAGCATAAATCTGATATTTTAAGCCTTTTTCCTCCAAACATAGCATTCCCATATAACATTCAGGAAGATTTATTGGTAAGGACTAGGAGGTATGCATAGGATTACAACTTTTAAGGGTCTCCAGCTCCCTGATTCTCATCTTTGACCCACTGGTCTTCACTGATTGATTAGTACACACTATTACGTCACAGAGTCCCATACAAGAAAGAATTCTGAAGCTCCTTGGGTGAAGTAATGTGTCATAAAATTCCCCATAGTTGATCAGTCTCGAGAAGAGACCTACTTACTAACCTATAACACGTGTGTCTTTCTGAAATTTGATACAAATGAGCTGGGTTTTTTTCCTTGCTTAGGAACAAGAAAAGTCATGTTATTAGGAGAATAAGGTAATCCAAACATTTGAGAAGTGAAAAAGTATGTGTATGTATGTGTTTAAGAATCATGAGTTGAATTTGGAGTTAATTATACTTCATGCTCAGACCTATGAAGTTGGTGGGATTTTAGGTAGTTTAGTAGTAAGTGCGGTTAAATATTTATCCAGCATAGTCATTAACATTTAATCTCGCAAAGCTATCTTTTTATATTAGAGACATATGTAATTGATTTATTTTTATGCTGGAGACATACCTTGAATTGGGACTGACTTCAGGCTTAGTGAGGATCAAGGTAATTCTCCGAAGCAGAAAGAGTTTTGATAAGATTGGGATTTTCTGTTCAGTCCCTTTTGGGTTCTACTCAAAAGTGACTTAACAGTTTTGACTTTTGGATGGTTTTCTAGAAGCAGAATTTTCTGTAATCTAGTTTTGAATATCTAGAATTAGGTTCCTGTAGGTAGATTTAACTCAAAGCTGGTTCACAAGTAGAATGTAATGGGGTCGAAGAAGAAAAAAACAGGATGCGTGTCTATATGAAATTAAACCTGTCACCAATTACCTTAAGCAATGTTGTAGTTGCTTAAAATTTGGAGTGGGGCTTTGATTTCATTCTGAAAATAAATACCAGTATCCCAATTAGGCTATCTTTCCTTGTTTTCTTATTGAATTCTACCCCTCTCAGATATGACAGTATTGCCAATGGCCTCACAGTCTATCTGAAACCACCATAATTACAAAAATATTCAAATGAAGTATTTAAAATAATACCAAATAATGCCATTCTAAATGATAAGAAATCATAGGAAAGCAGCGTTCCTGTGCCTTTAAAACAAGCATGCAAGTTAAGCCTTTCACATATATTGCTAGTGTACCACTTAGTTTCAGAGCTAAGAATGATACAGGGTTTTTTGTACAGTTTTTGAATATTATCTGAAGGCAGGAAAGTTGTGCCATGATCATACTGTAGTTATAGGTCAGACAACAAACCAAGGCCAAAACCACTAACTTTAGGATATGATCATATGGTGAAGGAGGTAAATGGATTTGTTTGATTCTGTTGTCTCTTAATTGCTTAGCATAGTGGGTCTCAACCTTCCTAATGCCGCGACCCTTTAATACAGTTCCTCATGTTGTGGTGACCCTCAACCATAAAATTATTTTATGTTTTCCATATTTTTTTGAAAATATGTGCTTTCCAATGGTCTTAGGCAACCCCTGTGAAATGGTCATTCAACCCCCAAAGGGGTCCCGACCCACAGGTTGAGAACCACTGGCTTTGTAAAAAAAAAAAAAAAAAGCATTTGAAAACGAAACCATGGCTCTTATTAAAGAGATGGTCCTTTCAGAGACTGTTGCAAGACTGACAATCAGAATAAATGGATACTCCCCTTAGCAAGAGGATATAAAGCTTGAAGGCAAATTGATCTGTCCAGACTTCTGTATTGGAACCACTGGTTCTTAATTTCATAAATGCTCTGAAGTTAGAGATGACAGTGATTGCTGAGGATACCAAATTCTTTAATGTTTTGCTCAAACAAACAGTACAAAAAAACCCCTGAACAGCAAAGCATTCCAAAAAGCTTTTTCCAAATAGCACATTCCATTAAATGTAGACAACTTTACAGCAATGCACACGTACATGCACACACACATTCCAACTGCACATACATTTGAGCTGATGACTAATGAGAAAAGATATCTTAGGGTTGTGATAGCTCACTGAAAATCTTGGCAGTTTGCAGTTTTCATCAAAAGAGCCAATTCTGTGTTGGTGGTGGAAATAAGGAAATCATATATAAAACTGCCAGTGTCATAATGCCTTTTACAAATTTATGATGTAACCAATGGGCACAGTTCTGGATAATACACTGGAAATAGTTTTTGGCTCTTTCTCTGAAATAGCTTACCCCTATTTCAGAATTAGCTATTTTTTAATAACTTTTGTTCTTTAATCTGGTATTCTTCTGTTCTTGCTCTGCTTCTGTTTCCTACAGTAGCCTGACAAATGAATTGAAGAGATATTCTATAGGTATATTTTGTACTGTCAGAAGTGTGTTGGCTTTATTTGAGGAGCATCATACTGTATTGCGTATTTTATATTGTACTTCTAGGTGGCATTCAGATGTGTCAAGATTTTGAGATGTAGAGAGGGAAGATGCATTTATGAAGGCTGATGTCTGGGAACATGTCCAGAACCAAACTAAAAAGTGGTTCCAGTTACCGCTTTGTAAAGAGAGTCTTCAGATCTAAGGCCCAAGGACTGGTATATGGTCAATGGTTGCAAACAAAACCTCCGGTTTAGTAGGAGTAAGGTGGGCGTTGCAGAAATGAATACAGTACTTGTCTGTAGAGAAGTAAGCTTTTTTTTAATTCATAGTGACTTTCTTCAAGTAAGTGCACTGGATTGTGAACTCACATGTTAATAGTGAAATCCTCATTCACAATTTCGGGCTTTGGTTTGCTTTTATGGAATTGAAACATTTGCATGGAATGGTGTATGAGACATAAAATATAGGACAGTAAAAATGCATTCAGGTCCTGCATTTTTTTCATAACGTTCATAATGTGTAGAACTAAAAGGTGTTTAATTATTATTGACACATCTTTTTAAAGTAACACATAATTCTACTTGATTAAATGTGTATCTTGCTTTAGTGTAGTGAGTGATTGAGGAAATAAAAGTGCTACACCTTTTCATTGACTGGTGATTTAAATCCATGTTTACAAGAATACTCCAAACTTATACTGCGAAGGAGCAGTTAGCTTTTGTTTCCTTATGAACTGAGTTTGTGGATGTTTTTTATTCAGTGCAGCAGTTGGAAATTTTGCAATGCTAATTTCAAACCTGCTGTTGTTGCAAATAGTGGATCTTTTGTCTGTGACTCCACAGGAACAGGATTAGATCTTCAAATCTTTGTGTTAAGCACTTATGACTAAAAGGCGACTTGCCTTGTATGTCTAACCAATAGGGCATCTCTGCCTGTAGGGACTAATGTGGACATTCTCTTGTTTTTATCACTTTCTAACCAGAATAATTAATGGAGACCGAAATGAAAAAGTTGGCGATAATGGGCGTTGTGGAATGTATAACATTCTTGTGCTGACATTGTTTACATAAAAAAAAGATTACATTTATTAGTTTGTAATCTTTAATGTGCAATTTTGTATATGTTGTGTTAAAACTATGTTTATAAGATACTGTATGTAAAAAATACTTGACGGAGTATTTGATATAAACATCAGAACATTAAATTGTCTTTATATTCATACTAATTTTGTATGTGTTCTTCTTTGTATCTTCCCAAAATGGAAGCACCAAAATTAGCACTAGCTCAAAATCACTGCCTTTAGTCCTATGAAGATCTTGGGAAAGATGGGCTTTGGAACACACAGGAGTGTGAATGAAGCCCTGTTCATTGGCTAATTAAAGCAGCTGCCTCTTTCTTCAATCTCATTTGGGTATTTCCAAACTGGCCCAACTCTCTGCCTGCTGATATATACACAACTATTTCATTTTGCTGGGGGAGGGGGAGGAGAAATTAGAGTAGTTGTGAATGCATATGCATACATTCATAGCTAAGAGCAGTTTATGAAACAGCTACACACATTGGGAAAAAGTTGCCTTAATGAGCCAAAGACAAATGCTTCTTACATATTCCTATACATTACAGAAAACTCATATTAAAGGATTTGCACAAACCTAACTGCAAGGTAAAATGTACATATACACTGGAAAAGTTATGTTGGCAAATTAGAGATCAGCATCTAAGCATGTGAATTTGGTTAACTAAAGAAAGAATTATAGATACTGTGTACCTTTCTGAAATGAAAATATACAAATATCTCTATAGATATTTTGTGATCAGATGCCTACTCATAAAATAGCTATTTTGAAAAAAAAATAGGAACATTGAAACAAATTAAAGTAGCTTGAAATTTACACATAAATCTATATGAATAGTAATTACTATTAATCACTGCCTCCTATGTTAAAAAATGTCTTACGTATTTGTTAGATTTGTGCTCTAGCTTACATAATTGATTGATCCATCCAACCAGTGCCAGGCCTCCTTCAGTGTTCAGCCATGTAACCTGCTCTCTTAACTTAATTCCTTGTGTATATTTAGATCTTATTTTCACCTAAGGATGCCATTCTGTGCTAAAGTGTCTCTATATACACATACACCTATACATACATAGGCAAAGACAGATTGGGAAGTTCTGAGTTTTGTTCTGTTCAGTGCAAGCAGGGAAACAACCTGTATATTCCAAGTGATATAGAAATTCCAATGGGGAAAAATGGAATTTAATAGCCATCTGGTTGTAATTCTTTACGTTATTATTTCCCAAATGTTTTTAATTTCTGGACAGATGACTCTGAATCTGAATTCTAACCAGGTGTTGACCTTTTAATTTTTAATTTCACCTGTATTATTTTTATAAATAACTCAAGGCAGAAAACATACCTAATACTTCTTCCTCCCCTTATGTTCCTCATAATAGCAGTGTTGTGAAGTGGGATGGACTGAGAGACAGTGACTTGTCCAAAGCCACCCAGCTGGATTTCATACCTAAGGCAGGACTAGAACTCATCGTTTCTTGGTTTCTAGGCCGGTGGTGCCTTCAGCATTAGACCAACTGGCTCTATTGCTTTAAAACAATTTTGATCTAGTTAACATAGAATTCTAGCCATTTCTAGTGCATAATTAAAATTATTAAAACATGAAGTGCATAACATTCTTCTAATGTAGATCTAATAGTTTTTTAAGCAGTGCTGAAAAATTGAATTAAATGCTCAGCATATCTTCATATTCTTGATTCTGGGACTAAAAAATACTCAACCATTAGAGAGGAAGCAAAGAAACTTATGCTCATGAAATTGCTGCTGACTATTAGATTGAGGGGTGGGGAGGCATATCTCAGGAGACAGAGAACCTGTATATGCAAACTGATACAAAAATCACAAAAGATCCCTTGGATAACCTTATCAAAGACTATTTAAGAGCAAAATAACCATTTAAAAAAGCCTAGTTGCTTTCAGATGTGCTGCACTGTTTGTAGGTCATTTGAAAAGTGCCAATATCCATTACAAGCTGCAATGTTGTCAACATCTGGGACTTGTACTATGAAATTCTTTTTATTTTATTATTGTTTGTAAACCATTCAGGACTATAATACACAAAATGGGTGGCTGTATAAATCTTTGAAATAAATAAATCCAACTTAATTATGTAAAGTTGGATTGCTTGCACAGTGATGTCATGACATATGCCATCATTTAGACCACTGCAGAGGACTATAGCAGAATGTATGCTTAGGACAGTTGCACCATTTTGCTATTCCATAGTAAATTTGGCCTCGATATATTCTCTTAGAAAATCCTGAGAACATTCTGGAATTCTTCAGTTCCTGTATGTTACCAAGCATGGAGAATGCTAATTAATCTCCTATAGGCGGGAGAGAAGTCACCAGTCCATATATCATCAAAAGTGGTTAGATAAACAATGACAATAGGATGGTAAAGAAGGAGAATTCTACTTTGAGACATCTTATTCACACTCTCACTCAAGCACAAATTGATTGTACTCTACATTCCATGCACAGAGTTGGTAACATATAAGAGATAGCATGTATAGTTGTTACATAAACCATAAAGTCCTGGGCCAACACTGCCAAAGCATGGAAGATGAAGCTCCAAAGACCACCATTGGTTCTCCAACACACTGTTGCTTTTGCCAGTTTGGATAAGATGTGGGCCATGGGATAGGTAGAACATAATAGCAAACTCGATGTGTCTCTTTAGTCAGGTGCAAACAAATGCAAATCCAGATTAGATGGGTTTATGGTGGGAAACAAAGCAGTCTTTATCAACCACAACCACAATGTATGAATCTTCCCTAATTCTCTAATCCGCATTGGTATACTACCAAATACGTAGACATGTAGAGCTGGATCAAACTCATCAGCCTAGTTTTCCTTAATGTATAATTAAATCATAGAAGACTGATGCTTTAATCTGAACTGACGTTGACACTCATCCACAGTGCCACTAGGCTACAGAATTGGCTATCCCTTATATATCTAGTCCAATGCGTAATCCATCTCTTTTCTTTCAGTCCATTTCTTTTCTTTCCTGTTGCCATTTGAA